CAATGAAAAGCCCCCAGAATGAAGGGTCTCAAACTACAAACGTAGATATGAAGACAATAATGGAGAGATTAAAAAGAATTGAGGAGACACAAGAAGAAACTAGGAAGGAGCTGATATCTGAGATAACAGTAATAAAGAATACTGTGAATTAAATAAATAACAAACTGATAAGCATGGAAAGCAGAATTACCCAAGCAGAAGAAAGAATCTCAGAGCTTGAGGACCAAAATATAGAAATAACCCAAACTCTTAAAAACACAGAAAATTAGCTCAAAAAGACAGAACAAAACCTTCAAGAGATGAGCGATTACCTCAAGAGGCCTAACCTAAGAGTAATCAGACTCCCTGAGGCAGAAAGAGAGACAGAGACCACATTGGAACAAACTTTCCAGGAGATCATTCAAGAAAACTTCCATTATCTAATCGGTGATGCAAAAATTCAAACACAAGATATTCAGAGAACCCCCGCAAGACAACAAATGAGAAGACCAACTCCTAGACACATAATAATTCACCTAAACAAAGTAGGCATAAATGAAAAAATCCTAAAGGCAGCAAGAGAAAAAGGCCAGATCACCTACCATGGAAGACCAATCAGAATAGCAGCAGATTTATCTACAGAAACCTTGCAGGCTAGGAGAGCTTGGAGCCCTATCTTCAAAGTCCTAAAAGATAAACAATTTCAACCAAGAATAACCTACCCTGCCGAGCTAAGCTTCATCAGTGAGGGAGAATTAAAGTCTTTCCCAGATATCCAATCCCTAAGAACTTATGCTGCCACCAAACCACCTCTACATGAAACAGTTAAGAAAGTACTAAACACAGAAGAAAAGGAAAAAATAACAACCTTCTTCACAAGAGTACAGGGAAAAGAATAAAATATACATGAACCAACCCCAAAATCAAAAGAAAGACAAAAAAAAAACCCACAAAAAAAAAGTGAAAGAACAACAACTCTATAAGAACTCTACGATAGGGAGGAACTCTCACATTTCAATAATTAGCCTGAATGTGAATGGACTAAATGCACCACTGAAAAGACATAGAATGGCAAAATGGATAAAATATCACCAAGCAACAATATACTGCCTTCAAGAGACCCACCTCACTAGAAAGGACATACACAGACTCAAAGTAAGAGGATGGGAAACAAATTTTCAGGTGAATGGAACACAAAAGAAAGAAGTAGTTGGGTTCTGCCAGTCCCTGCGCTGGGTGGCCGCACACGTGTCCAGCCGTCATGTCTGTGCATGCCCCCCGGGACTTGCGTCAGCTACCACTCCAGGAGCTGGTGGGCCGGGGCTCTGCCGCCACTTGGGATTGGGGTCCGGGATGCCGCGAGGAGGGCACCGTGTGGGGTCCGCCACGGAAGTGCATTCGGAGAGCGCCGGTGCGCCCAGTCCCCACCAGCCGGGTGCCCGATCGTCCCGGCTGCCCCGACCGGGCTGGGTGCCGTGTTGTGGCCCCAGAGCTTGCTGCCTGCGGGGCGGGCACCGCCGTGACCCAGGCAGCTCCGCGGCAGGCAGGCGCCCACAGGTGCATGGTGGGTTTGGAGCGCGATGAGCCGACAGTCCTCCACCCGCCCCAGTGCTAACAAACCCTGCAACAAGCAGCTGCTGCCACAGGCGCAGCACGCCCCGACCCCGGCTGTACCCCCGGCCGCTGCCACCATCTCAGCTGCAGGCCCCAGCTCATCCGTGGTGCCTGCCACGGCGGTGGTGATCTCGGGCCCTGGCGGCGGCGGTGGGGGGGGGGCCAGCCCGATGTCCCTGCAGCACCACAAGTTGACCTTGCTCTTCGAGTGTCCGGTCTACTTTGACTATGTCCTGCCTCCCATCCTGCAGTGCCAGGCCGGGCACCTGGTGTGTAACCAATGCCGCCAGAAGCTGAGCTGCTGCCCGACATGCAGGGGTGCCCTGACGCCAGGTAAGTCTGATTCTGAAAAGACAAAGTCAGCAAAGTTAATTTTACCTAAAGTGTGCATTTCTCCAAAAGCATAGCTTCTACTTTCTCACTATTGAATTAAGGTTTAGGAAGAAGGATAAAAACAAAATGCAAGCCGGGCTCGGTGGCTCAGCCTGTAATCCCGTGCCTTTGGGAGGCTGAGGTGAGCGGATTGCCTGAGCCCGCGGGTTTGAGACCCACCTGGGCAGCAAGACCTCATCTCTACAATAAATAAAAAAAATAAGCCGGGCATGGCCGCGCATGCCTGTAATTCTGGCTACTCAGAAGGCTGTATTCATCTTCTGTTACTGGTATATTGAATATTACAATTTTAATACAGTTTTTTCCTTTCCTAAAATGTATATACATTTTCTTGGCACCCTTTGTATGTCACATTTTCTTTATCCATTCATCTGCTGATAGATGCTAAGGTTGATTCCATATCTGGCTACTACAAATAATGCTGCCATAAACACAGAAATGCACATATATATTTGACATACTGATTTTATTTCACTTGGATATATACACAGTAGTGAGATTGCTATCATATGATAGCTCTATTTTTAATTTTTTGAAAACCCTTTATACAGTTTTTCATAGTGGCTTACTAACTTAGATTCCTATCCAATGTATTTTTTTTTTAATTTTATTTCAAAGATGTGGGGTACAATTCAGGGTTAGGTATACAAATGGTCATTGTGTAGGTAAAGTTTTTCCTCACTTTGGTTCCCACTTCACCTGGCTTGAGATTAGGTACACTTATCGATAAAGTGTGCCCCTCTTCCCTCCCCTGCCAGTCTCCCACTATTGCCAATCCCTTTCTTATAAAATTATGATAATTGTTCAGGGTCTGCTTATGAGTGAGAACGTGTGGTACTCAGTTTTCTTTGTTTCTGTGACAGATCACTCAGTATTATAGGCTCTAAGTTCATCCAAGTTGCTGCGAAGTTCATAATTTTGTCCTTCTTTATGGCTGTGTACTATTCCATTGTGTATATCTGTGTATCTTAAACACTTAAAAGTGTTCCCTTTTCTCCACATCCTCTCCAACTCTTATCATCACTTGTCTTTTTTGGTAATAGCCATTCTAACAGGCGCGAAGTGATATCTCATTGTGTTTTCAAATTGCATTTCTCTGATTAGTAATTTTGAGCATTTTTATATGCCTGTTGGTCATTTGTATGTATCCTTTTGTGTAATTTCTATTCAAGTCCTTTGCCCATTTTTCCTTTTTTTTTCTGCATGCCATTAGTGTAATCTCAATGTGTGTATTTTTAATGGCATTATTTTTCTTGCTATTGAGTTGTTTAATTTCCATATATATGATATTAACTCCTTATCAGAGTTATCAGTTAAATGGCTTGCAAATATTTTCTCCCATTCAATAGATTCCCTCTTCACTCTGTTGATTGTTTCCATAGCTATGCAGAAGCCTTTCAGTTCAACGTAATCTTATTTGTGTATTTTTGTTTTCGCTGCTTTTGATTTGGGTTCACATCCAAAAAACCATTTCTCAGACAATGGCATGAAGTTTTTCCCCTATGTTTTCTTCTAGCACCATTAGAGTTTCTGGTCTTTTATTTAAATCTGTAATCAATTTGAGCTGGTTTTTACATATGGTGTGAGACATGGAGTCCAGTTTCATTCTTCTGTATGTAGATATCCAGTTTTCCCAACGCATTTATTGAAGAGACTGTCTTTTCCCCATAGTATGTTCTGAGAAACTTTGTCAAAAAGCAATTGGCTGTAAATGCATGAACTTGTTTCTGGACTCTCTTCTATTTCATTGAGGCATATGTTTGTTTTTAAGTCAGTAACATGCTGTTTTGATT